TATCAAATCCTTAAATTAGGGGTGTCCAACCTTGGCAGCTTGAAGATCTGTGGATTTCAACTCCCAGAATTCCTTATTGGCTGGGGAATTTTGGGAGTTGAAGTCTATCAGTCTTAAAGTGGCCATGGCATATTACCTTAAACCGGGTGTCAGCAACCTGTGGCTCAGGAGCCGCATGTGGCTCTTTGGGCCCTCTGTTGTGGCTCTCCGTCAGGTGATCCCACCACTGGCTGGCCTCACCCTCCCCTCCCAGTCACTCCTCGCCTGTCCTGAGAAGGTAAGGGCAACGGCGGGGGGTAGAGAAGTGACCAGGGTAGAGACAGAGAGATACAGAGGGGGAGGGAGGGAGGTGGAAGAGAGAGATATCAAAAGAGTTTTGTGGTTCCCAGTGTTTCTTAACAACTGGTTCTCTGCCCTAATGACTGGATGGGTAGGTGTGGCTAGGGGATCATGTGACTGGTGTAAGTGAGTGACATCGAGTTGGCCACGCCCACCCAGGTTTTGTGGCTCCCGGTGTTTTCTTTTCTGTGGAAAATGGGTCCAAATGACTCTTTGAGTGTTTAAGGTTGCAGACCCCTGCCTTAAACAGTTGCCACTTAACAAAACTAACTTTAGAACAAGATCAAAAACCAAGTCTAGATGGAGTCTTCTAAAATGACCATGGGGACACTGCTCATTGTCGCCTTATTAATGAGTTTTGAAAAGAGAAATGTTATTAAACAAAGTCCAAAAAGAGGACTTTGAACACAAGGAAAACAACAACAACCAGGCTGAAAGGGAAGTTTTGATCAACCAATCCAACCCTTCTGCCATCGAACTGTTTGTTGATGTGGAACACTTGTTACGTGCCAGTATTTTTTTGACCCGGTTCTTATGCCTTTATGAGCAACTTGGCAAAGACATCAAATAGATTTTCTTATCAACCAATCAAAGTTCTCAAGTTTTGCCTCCTTAATTCCTCTGCACGGGATTATTGACTCAAGCATATGAAGGAGGCCTCTGTAAAAACATATATATAAAAATATAGATAGCACCTTTGAACTCCAAGCTTCATGACACAGTAAATGAAGAAAATTCTGCTGTCGTTTCTCTGCCATTTCCTGCTGTTGAGGTGGAGCCATTTTGCCACCTAGTACAATCCTATACCAGCATCTTTACCTATTGCATGAGAAGTAGAAGATCAGTTTCTGAAATAATTCCTATCCTTGCAGCTGAACAAGGAGGCGGACTTCATCAGTTGAATTCCTGGTTCTCAAACCTCTTTGAAGCATGCCAAGAAGGAAATAACCTTATAATTGCTTCTTTCTTGGTAGAAAATAGCCACACTCCGAGGTATTAGAGAGATATTTTGGAACGGCATTAAGTCATCCCTTAAGCAGCATGTCCCCCTTTCAGCTTTATAAAAACACAGGGATTTGCAAAGCAGCAGAGACTGACTGTATGGGCTCCTTTTTGGCTGCGTTTAGCAACGTCTGGTGGGCTGTTTTGTTCCAAGTTCTTTAAGAAGACTCCCTTCTGCTATTTGCATCTAGAGATATTGGCTGGGGCTTTGTTTGTACATCATTAGAGTTCATGTGCAGATTGTAAGCACTTGGGAGGGAATAGCAGCCGAGAAGCCGTCAGTAAGCACAAAATGTTCCCCTGGCATCTCCTAGAAACCCCAAGAACATTGCGGCACAAGCCTTTCTGCTGTTTTCTCTTGTCTTGTTAACTGGTTTACTGTGCGTTTTCTTTCTCCGAATTCTTCTCTGTGGTATCCTCGATTTGGGATGAGTGGAAAATTAAATGGTTCAATATAAATCATGATGAAAAGCCCGCCCATTCCATCTGCTTGCTTGTGGTGTCATGGCCATGAGGCAAGGCGGGAACGTAGTGGAACTGCTTCACGCACCCCACACCGGCTTACCTCAGGGACCCCACAGCCAGGCTACCCACGCCATGATATCTGCCTTGCGGTGGCAGTACTAACAACCATGTGCAGGAGCCCACGTGGCTGTCAGCCCACTTCTTCTGCTTGCTCGTGACCGCAAGTCAGGAGGCTGAACAGTGTTGGTGCTGCAGTTGGGAGGTGAGGCAGGTGTCGGGGCATGGATGGCCTGGCTGTGGAAAACCTGAGGTAAGTCGGTGTGGGGCGTGTGGGGGCAGCTCCATGCTCCCGCCTCAGGGTGGCACCAGCACGTCACTCGACCTCCTGCTCCGTTGCGGCCGCAAACAAGCAGAAGTGAGCTGGCAGCTACAGGGGGTCCTGCTGGATGGGGCTGCCGGAAGCACCAATGTGAGGTGGCCTGGCTGCAGGGGCGCAGAGGTAAGCCAGTGCGTGGTGCATGGGGAAGCTCCACCCCGCTGCCTCGCGGTAGCAGCACTGTGCAACCTCCTGCCCCGCTGCGAAGAAGAAATGGGCTTCCCGTATATGGGGGGGGGGTTTATAAGAATATATGACAAGGAATATATAAGACACCCCTGAAAATAAGCCCTAGTGCTTATTTTGGGGCCCAAAAGAAAATAAGACCCAATCTTAGTTTCAGGGATACACGGTATATATGTATATATATATATATATATACCGTGTATCCCTGAAACGAAGAGATAGATAGATAGATAGATAGATAGATAGATAGATAGATAGATAGATAGATAGATAGATAGAGGCTAAAAATGTCATTGATGAGTTGCTTGGTTTGCAGAGGCTTTGATAAATTGCATCATCTCTCTGAAGGTGAGTCACGTCATTTGGGTATTTCATGGGGGTGAGGCAGCTTCTATTTGCACACACAGAGAAGCCTTCCATCACAGCTGGAAGTGGATGAAACTGTTCCTGATGCAAACATCCCCTCTCTTAAGATTTGGAAATGTTGTTTCTACTGATGCAGTTGGAAAACAGTTTTTGCTTACGTTACAACCAGATCACACTGTTGATTCATAGTTTGTCATCAGTTGCAGTTTCAAGGGTTTTTTCCCCACATGTACAATAGCTAGGCCAGAAATCCTGCGCTGTATACCTATCCAATTGATTTGTTTCCTAGTTGGAAAACTTAGCATTTATCTCCATTAAATATAATTATTATTTTCAACTCATTTTCTCTAGAGCACTTTGGAGTACAGGTAGTCCTCGTTTAGTGATGGTTCGAAGTTACGACAGCACTACAAGTGACTTATCACCATTTTTCACACTTATGGCTGCTGCAGCATCTCCATGGACATGTGATCAAAATTCAGATGCTTGGCAGCTAACTCATATTTATGACGGTTGCCGTTTCCCAGGGTCATGTGAGCCTGATCCACTTAACAACTGCAGCTATTCACTTAACAACTGTGGCAAGAAAGGTAGTAAAATGGGGCAAAATTCACTTAACAAATGTCTCTCTTACCAACTTAAATTTTGGGCTCGATTGTGGTCGTAAATCGAGGACTACATGTATCTCCTCCATAGCATTTAATGATCCCATCTAGTTTTGTGTCATGTGGAAATTGAATATGCAGTCGTTAACAGAAACTTATGAAGAACAGAGGCCCAGCATAGGGCCCTGTGACAGCTCACTTAACATCCTACTCCAGTTCGATGAGGAACTACTGATGAGCTCCCCAAATCCTATAAATTTCAGTATCAAGCCTTCCTGATCAAGTTTATCGACTCTCGGCTAAAGCAATTTGGGCCAGCAGTGCATAATCCAAGTATGACAAACCAGGATCTCAGAAACTAAGCCTATCGGTAGCATGTCCACAATTAGTCAACAATATTTGTAGCTCACGGTTGAATGGGGAGGTCCTTGGTGCACTCTGAGTTTGGTTGTTTTCTTAAGTTTCAATATTGAGTTTGGTTGTTTTCTTATATTTCAATACTGTGTCTGGTTGTTTTCTTATGTTTTAATACTCAAACTAGATGACATCATCGGCATTTGATGGCATTACCTACCTAGTTTGGATAATGAAAACATCTGCAAGGAAACAACCAAGCTTAGACGGCCATGACCGGGAGGATTTTCTATCAGGTCCGCCTGATTCGCCAGTTGCGTCCCTTTCTGGATCGGGACTCGTTACGCACGGTCACTCATGCCCTCGTCACCTCCCGCCTGGACTATTGTAATGCTCTCTACATGGGGCTCCCCTTGAGGAGCACCCGGAGGCTCCAACTGGCGCAGAGTGCGGCCGCGCGGGTGGTAATGGGAGCGACATGGCGCTCCCATGTAACACCTCTCCTGCGCGAGCTGCACTGGCTCCCGGTGGTCTTCCGGGTGCGCTTCAAGGTTTTGGTTACCACCTTTAAAGCGCTCCATGGCTTAGGGCCTGGTTATTTACGGGACCGCCTACTACCACCAATAGCCTCCCACCGGCCAGTACGCTCTCATAGAGAGGGACTCCTCCGGGTGCCGTCAGCCAAACAGTGTCGACTGGCGGCCCCTAGGGGGAGAGCCTTCTCTGTGGGGGCACCTACCATCTGGAATGAGCTCCCCCCAGAGATACGGAGGATCCCGGATCTGCGCTCCTTCCGCCGTGCTGTGAAGACCTTTTTATTCCATCAAGCGGGCTTGGCCTGATCTCTTCCCTTTTTAAATACGTAAATTTTAATCTGTTTTTAAATTATTGGGGTATTTTAATTTGTCTGGGCCAAATAATTTAATTTGATTTTATCGGGTTTTTAAATTTTGTGTATTTATGTATTTTATTGTTGGCTGTTCACCGCCCTGAGTCCTTCGGGAGTAGGGCGGTATACAAATCAAATAAACTAAACTAAACTAAACTTAGACAGCATAAAGGACATACACACACATACCCAAAAACCAGTCATTTGCCTGTTTTTTTCTTCTCTTCCAGGCTATGAGAACGTCATCCAGCTTTCTTCTGAAACTTCTAAGCTCAAGATGTCATAGTTACACTGACTGTCTTATTTGCCCCTTATGTAGACCTCGTGAATCTTAGTACCTTTACTGAAACTCGTATTGGTATCAATCCATTTCCTTATTTCCTAAACCCTTGAAAGAAATACCAAAACCAACATCATGGCAAGAGCTAAAATAATTTATTTACTAAATAAGACTATTCAGGTGGACTGGTACAGCAAACAGGGCAGTCAATGTCTCCTTTTAAGACTTGTTCTGACCATTTCCACACATAATTAACAGAGGAACAACTGTCAAAATGCAGCCTCAGCAACAACCTAAATATAGGAAACGGTTAATATTTTTCTGGCCTCCAAGTGAACCTCTTTCTATTATCACATTTCTCTTCAAAGCAATCGCTTAGGGCTCAAAATGATGGCTTCTTACGCCGCTCTCCTAGAGTTACACACAAGACAAGCCCAACCACTGGGCCAATTTTCATTGTGGCAGCTCAAGGTCAACAAATCAAGACTGCTGAATTAAAATAATCATCCCTTTTTCCCTCTGAAGAAAAAAAAAGGTGGTTTTTTTGCCCCCCTGAAAAGTGATTACATCTCCCTACTTACAGAAATCACACTATCCTCAAGCAGTATGAAAGTGAGCTAAAAAAAAAAAGAAAACCCTAAAAAAAGATGTATAACAATGGTGGGTTGCTACCGGTTCGCCCCGGATCGGGCGAACTGGTAGCGGCGGCGGCAGGAGGCTCCGCCCACCCGCCCAGACGCTTCTGCGCATGCGCACGAACTGGTAGCAAACTAAACTGAAACCCACTACTGATGTATAAATATATATTTATTGGATCTGGTGAAAAACAAAACCCAAAACTGTAGTTCTGGATTGTCATCAGAGTTGTGGGAAAACGCAGAAGGAAACCACTGAAAAGTTTTAAAACGGAGCTACACGAATCCTGGATCTCTCCACAGCAACAAATGGCTATATTTCAACCTAGAGACGGGGTGAAGCCCAAGAGCTGTTCAATGGGTTTGTATCTCCATTCATCTGCCTCCAGTTCTTCCACTAAGCCAGCGAGTTTTTCCATTCGAGCGACTTGCTGATCTGTATCAGAAAATTAAAAAATGGGTTTGCAATCAACTTTTGGTTAAGCCTTTTTAATGGACTATAAGCTGCACATCATGTCTTAAAGCAGAAAAAAAATCTTTTATCACAGGAACATTAACTAGTTAGAATCCAACACAATTCGTTTTCACTCTACGATTCACAAGACATTATCAACCCCCAAGACAGGATAAAAAAAAAAAATTAAAAATAAACAAATTCTGTTCAAAGATCCTCACGTTTATTTTTCAATTGGAGGAAAACAAATGTATTATTTCTGCTGCTCCAGTTCTAAATCCCACAAAAGCTCTTTTAGATCCGACTTTATTCCAGCTATCCTGCTGTTTCTCATAGAAACTGTTAGCCAGTGAAAATACTTCAGATAATCCCTACATAAATAGATGGGATATATCCTTCAAGTTATGAATAAGGCCAAAATATCTGTTCTCTAGAACAACTGTATTGCATGTGAGCCAACCAAAAAAAAAAAAAAAAGCTATACCTTAACTTAAATATCAAACACTTCCACACAGTGATATGTTATCATTCTGTCATCTGCTACAGCTGGTACATCACAAGGAAGCTAAAACAAAGTCGTTGTATTACACTGAGATTGTTCATGCCTTTATCTATCAGATGCTTTTCATTTTGTCAAAATTCTCAAACATGTCAAATACACTAATAGTTCAAGAAAAGCCATAAGCAAAACAATATAAAAACCCATCAGTGTTAGAGCAGTTGACAAGGAATGATGACAGAATAATTTATGGGGTTGGGCAAAAGACATTTTTTGAAATGGTTGGTGGCATACAGATAGTCCTCAAGTTATGACCACAATTGAGCCCAACATTTATGTTACTGTGTGAAAAGTTAAAAGTGAAACATTTAAGTGAGTTTTGCCCCATTTGATGACCTTCCTTGCTACGGTTGTTAAGTGGATCACTGAAGCTCTTAAGTTAGTAACAGCTTCAGTTGTTTAGTAAATCTGTCTTCCCCGCTGATTTTGCGTGTCAGAAGGTTACAGAAGCTGATCACATGACTCTAGGACATTGGTTCATAAATATGAACCAATTGCCAAGCATCTGAATTTTCATCATGTGACCATGGGGATAATACAACAGTTGTAAGTGTGAAAAATGGGCATTAGACACTTTTTCCAGAGGCGTTGTAACTTTGAATTGTATTAAATGAATTGTTGTAACTCGAGGTCTACTTGTGCCCAGTCGCAATGGGGTCATAGTTCCTCATTGACGTAGACAAACCTAATGAATGAGACAGCTATTCCTCAATGACTGGACAATTTTATCTATGGGGAAAGTGGGTTTTTAATATGAACATGTTAATATCAAGCTTGTTCTGCCAAAGTTTCTTCAATAGATGTCCAGTGACACCCTACATTTAGACGTAGGAAATTCTGTTTCCAAAGGAAGATAGGAAATTCTTAATGTCTTTAAAAGGAATTCCCTATTAAATTAAATCTGAAGTGTCAACAGTCTTAATACGTGGATGGAATGTTTATCGATGTAGTTAATGTTTATAAATATGTATAAAGCTGGATGAGTGTTGATACACTTAATAATTACTTTGAGATTGGAAATATTTAGGAATTTGCAATGTTGTACCAAAATAAACTTAACATGGGACAAAAACAGGGGGAAAAAATAAATCCCAAGGTTTCCCTGAAAAAAGATCCAAGAAATCTTGGCCTCACATGTATTATATAACAGCATTAATAGTTAGGTGGCCCTGATTCAGACTGAAACCCAACAATCAAAATGCTGTCCATTTAGAGGTGTTTTAAATAATAATAATTTGCAGAGAGTCTTCCAAGGATATTCCAGTAACTGTATCTGGAATTATCTATTCATGCATTTTATCTATTCTTGTTTTCTCCTCTTCTCAATCTTGAATACCGTATTTTTTGGAGTATAAGACGGACCTTTCCCCCTCCCTAAAAGAGGGTGAAAATTTGGGTGCATCTTATACATTGAATGTAGTCCCGCTGGAAAAGGCTGGAAAAAAAGCAAGGCACAGAGCTCACAAGCAACAAACCTGTTGCTAAAATTCACCTCTGGGAACAGCTGATTGGGGGTATTCCGGGAGGCCGATCCACCCCCAATCAGCTTTTTTCTTATTTTCCTCCCCAAAAACTAAGGTGTGTCTTATACTCCAGTGCATCTTATAGTCCAAAAAATACGGTAATACAATTTTTCCTCATTCCGCATTTCTCACCCCACATGCCTGCAGCATGGGAGTTTCTGTTTGCTGAACATCACCTCAACACAACCACCAGATTTTATTTGGTTCAAAACTGAATGAGTGGTTAGTATTTATGGTCTTCAAAAATAATAATTCAAAGGCAAGTACCTTTTCAGCGTCTAGTTTTTAATTCCACGCAGAACCACTTGAAAAGACCTTTGCTTTAATGACTCTATTATTATTTATTTGATTTGTATGCCGTCCTATCTCCATAGGACTCAGGGCGGCTCAATCTTTGACTCTAATCTTTGCTGCCATTGAAATATCCTTATGAACTTGTCTACATTTTTCATTGCCATTTTGCCTAGAATTAATCTCCTCTCTATTTCTCTAGAACAGGGCTGGAGGACTATGGCCCCTTTATGAACTGTGGACTTCAACTCCCAGAAATCCTGAGCATGGATGGCTCAGGAATTCTGGGAGTTGAAGTCCACAGCTCATAAAGGGGCCATAGTTCCCCATCCCTGCTCTAGAGCATACAACTGAATGTACCAGTTGACAGTGAAAAGTGAAGGTAACAGTAGACAGCTGACACAACCCTTGTCACCTTGATATTTAACATTAACCCATATTTTCCACTTTCCTTCTTCTAGTTTCATTATGAGGTCTTCACTTTTCGCAAAGTAGGTTTTTCCAGCTTCACAATGTTTTGACCTATTTTGATTCCAGCTATCATCTTTTTCAAATTGTTTTTATCCTGACCTTCATCCAAATCGGAGAACTTTCATTCCTGTTATGAGAGTGGTCTGGGTAAAAATTATTTACACCCACTACCAAAGATCCTGGGGGTGTCACATCTTGCAAGCGGCTTCTTTCTGGTGACATTAACTCCTTACCTTTTGTGCTAACAGAGAAGAGAATAAAGAAATACTAGCCATGCGATATCTTATTGTGCTGTGGTTTTTTTATACAGCTGAACAAATAGATTGTGTACACAACCATTAGCCCTAATATATTTTATATTATGACATACTTTAGAGCAGGGGAATCCAACCAGAGGTGGGTTTCAGCAGGTTCTGAACAGTTCTGGAGAACCGGTAGCGGAAATTTTGAGTAGTTTGGAGAACCGGTAGTGGAAATTTTGAGTAGTTCGGAGAACTGGTAGTAAAAATTCTGACTGGCCCCACCCCCATCTATTCTCTGCTTCCTGAGTCCCAGCTGATCGGGAGGAAATGGGGATTTTTTAGTAACCTTCCCCTGGATTGGGGAGGGAATGGAGATTTTACAGTATCCTTCCCCTGGATTGGGGAGGGAATGGAGATTTTACAGTATCCTTTCCCTGGTTGGGGAGGGAATGGAGATTTTACAGTATCCTTTCCCTGGATTGGGGAGGGAATGGAGATTTTACAGTATCCTTTCCCTGGATTGGGGAGGGAATGGAGATTTTACACTATCCTTCTCAAGCCACACCCACCAAGCCAAGCCCACCAAGCCACACCCACAGAACTGGTAGTAAAAAAAATTGAAACCCACCACTGAATCCAACCTTAGCAACTTTAAGACTCTGGACTTAAACTTGGGGAATTCTGATGGCTGGGGAATTCTGGGAGTTGAAATCCACAAGTTTTAAAGTTGCCAAGGTTGGGCATCCTTACTGTAAAACCTTAAAATTGTCCATCTCGCTGTAGGCCCAAAAGGAATATATCTACAAAATTCAAATTTTGCAAGAGACTCTGGCAGAACAGCCATCTAATCAAGCATTTAATTTACTTGATAGAAAAACAGTATTTTAAGAACTCTGTGGCCAATCTCTTTGAAAGAGATTGAAACTTGATCACTTGCTTGAAAATAGCAAGTGATCAAGTTTCCTTCAAAAAGAGTTAGCTAATCAGATACTTTCTTCCAGAGTTCTGTCCCATCTTGACAGCATTTCGGAAGCAAATAAACTGATGTCCAATGTATCACATGAACCAAGTATGAGGAGAAAGAGATGATGAAGCAAGAGATTAAAAACCAGATGACCCAGAAAGAAAGATAGCGATCTTTATTAACAGCAAAGTTATGGCTCACAAAGCTTTCTACGAGTACAATGTTCATAGCTTGTTTTATGAATACAACAGCATCAAATAATGTAAGTTACAATCTTATCTCCTGGTTAAATAGACCATATAGATAAAACTTTGTTTTTGGTTTTTTTTTATTACGCAGGATAATATTGTGACAATAGGTTCGTTAAACATCTGCTATATTTTTATTATGTTTTTTTTTTTTTTTTGCTTTAATTTATATGCCGCCCTTCTCCGGAGACTCAGGGAGGCTTACAATGCGTTAAGCAATATGTTCTGTTCTATCCTGTTCTATCCAATATGTTCTGTTCTATCCTGCTGTTTTCAATACAGTAAGGTACTTCTACTACCTTACTGGGTTTCTATATAGATAAATCCTGACATAACATACAGTCCACTGATAACAATAGAGTTTGTGAGTTTATTCACTTACCGTGTTTTACTTGTTTCAGGGTGGATGCAACTTGATAGCTGAAGACAGACTCACAAAGGAATCGTTCTGACCCATCTGTAAATAGAGAAAAAGGAAGTCTAAAATATTTACGATCCCGAAAAGCCTTCTAAGAGTATCACCCAAAAAATTACAGTCTTATTTTTATACCGATGTATAAATTAACAAGTGTGTGTAATAATGATAAAAGTGAACCAGGCCAACAGTTTAGCTTCTGATCCAACAATGACTAGCCAGTTGTCTCAGGGAAACTCAGTGTATGCTCAACAGCAATGCCATTTGCTGCTGTCATCTTCAAGCAATGGATTCCCATTATATCTGGATGACAGTTGTTGGGAACAGTATGCTGGATTCTTGATCTGATCCAGTCATTTTCTCACTGGCATGCATCTTCCCTTCCCTTCCCTCCCCCTCCCTCCCCACCCCCGCCAGCTGCATTAAATTTCCTATAGGCTTCCAGATAAAATTCAGGAGGCTTGTTATCACCTATAAAGCTCTATAAAGCACACCATCAATTGGTGGGACCACCTCTCTCAAAAAGTATTGGCCTTTCCGTCATGCTCTAATACAGAGGTGTCAAACGCAAGGCCCAGCTTTGATCCGGGCTGGATCCGGCCCATAGGCTACTTAGATCTGGCCTGTGGGGCTGCCCTGGAAACAGTGAAGGACCGGCCCGCGGTGCCTCTTCCAGTGAAAACGGAGCTCAGGAGGGCCGCACACGGCCCTCTCGAGCTCCGTTTTTGGCTGCAATGGCCTCCTGCAACCCTCTGCCAGTGAAAATGGAGTGCGCACAGCTCTCCTAACATAGCATAGCCTTTATTGTCATTGTATACAATGAAATTGGTTTTAGCCTCACTGGTGCAATCCATGACAAACATGAATAGCATAAAGAATAATCCCTATGCAAGTAATTAGGGGAAAGAAAGAAAAAGAAAAACTAGTCATGTGTGCGTGGAGTGATTGTGGTTGTGTTTAAGAGTCTGACAGCCCAAGGATAGGAACTATTTTTAAATCTATTTGTTTGGCTGGCTATGCTTCGATGTCTTCTGCCCGATGGTGATCCTGAGCTCCGTTTTCGCTGGCAGAGCGCTCGAGCCACCACAGGCACCCCCTGACACGAGTGACGTCAAGCTGGCCACGCCCTCCCTGGCCACGTTCCCCCCCCAGGTCAAACACAACCCTGATGCGGCCCTCAATGAAATTGAGTTTGACACCCCTTCTCTAATAGGTAGGTATGCTTTGAATCCTTTCTTTCAAACAATGTCATTTGATGGGACTCAGGAGGTAAGCCTTTCTATTGCAGGTCCCCCTTTCTGGAACCACCTCTTCCCTGATATTTGTTTGACGTTGACCCTAAGGACATTTAGAAAAGCATTTCAAATCTGCCTTTTCCTTGCGTTCCAGAGCCAAAATGACTAGACTTCCATCCCTTCCACTAGTGATGAGTTCCCCACTATCTATAAAACCTTTGCATGGGATTTTTTTCCATGGAACTGTTTACTGTGTTTTTCTTACTTGTTCATTTCATGCAAGCCACCCCATTACCCTGTTTCCCCGAAAATAAGACATCCCCTGATAATAAGCCTTATCGGGCTTTTGAGCGCATGCGCTAAAATAAGCCTCTCCCCAAAAATATTTAAATGCAGAGCTGGAAATCGGGTAAAACGGCAAGAGGAGCCTCATCTTGCTCCACGCGCCCCAAAATAATAAGAGCTCCCCGAAAATAAGGCCAAGCGCTTATTTCGGAATTCCAAAAAATATAAGACAGGGTCTTATTTTCGGGGAAACACAGTACTATATTGCAGTATTTGAGCTGGACTGCCACAGGACTGCTTTAAATGAACTGCATAAATGGAAAATGTAAACTTAGTTAAAAATAGCCCGAATCTACATAAATGATTGGCATCTCAGATGGGATAAAACATCCCAGATTTAATTTCCAGCATCTCCTCAGAATGCTAGGGGGCTTCCCTTGAAACCTTAGACAGCTATTACTAACCAGTCTAGGAGACAGATGGATGTTATTTTCCAACTGCCATAATATGAGACAGTTCTTTATAGCCATATTATGCTTGTTAGGAAATGGCTATTGTCTAACTAGTTGGTCAGGCAATATATAAACTATCAATACATGTTTGTCAAAAGGTATTATATTGCTTTAAGACTGTATTGCATCATCCTGTAACCTGATTGGTTAAGCTCTGTAGCCAATGTATTTAAGGGGAAGCCTGAATCATGGCTTCTGGACACTACACCATTTTATCTGCTTATTTGCTGTTACTCTCTACCTGTTCTCTCTGTATGATCACTGTTTGATCATTGCTACTTGTTGCTTTCTACTATTTATTGAATGTTTTAATACTGAACTTGTTCCTGTTTGAAACTCAATAAGAACTGTTTTATTGTGTAATGACAACAACTGGTAAGAAGACTTTGTACTTGGAATATCCCTGAATTGATATTTTAACTATCGCCTTATCTGTGTATGACTTGGATTGTTATTGGACTTTGCTTTACTTTTTTCTAAAAAGTAAAAGACTACCACAACTCAGTGTGTCAGTATATTAACTGTGGTTATTCACTCTCAGCCGCTTTCATGTGCATACTCAAGGGGTACTCTGCTCAATAACCCATAACATCATTATGAGCCAAGAATATCCTTAACAATGCTGAAACATTGAAACAAGGCATTTCGTAGTTTTTGTGTATTGGACACAAGAAGAACAATGCCACTTCAATTCTCTTTAAATTAAACTTCAAAATATAAATGCATCCTTGAAAAAAAAAATCATGTCATGGATACCGACACTTAAATTACAGTTTACTAGATCTTCAAGACTACTGCAAGACTAGCACACTATCTGTGGCCAAGGTTAGGAGAAACTCAAGGCCCTGAAAACAATACATTTTCCAAGAAACCTTTATTTGCTAGATATGTTATGGGTTACTCACCCATAAAAGGCAAATAATAGCCTGCCAAGCTGATAATACAGACTTGATTGTACAGGTTGAGGTAGCTCATGTATGGAATGAATTGAATTTAGTTCTTATTTTTGTTCCCAAATATGAAACCTAGGCTAACTGGTTTAAGTCAGAACATTCTCTTGTTTCTCAATTGCCCAGTACAAATTCTCACAAATACAGGCTCCCTGCTACTTGGGATCACCGACTGACTTTCAAAACATACCATTACACAATCTCTGAAATAACCATCATTACGAACTTGGTATCTCCCAGATATTCTGAACTGTTAATTCCTATCATCCCATTCGCGACAGCTGCTTCTGGAGGCACCAATTTCAGAAGTGGGATATGCATGGCCAACCTCTTGATATCTAGAAATCGTTTTTCGCTTTTGACATATGGGGGAGGAAGTGCAGAGCCCAATGATATCTAGTAGGCAGGAGGCTCAAACCACACACCAGGTGTTTCTGTCTTCTGACCTTTTAGCTGATTCTTGGCTGTTGAGGGTTTTTTTCCCCCAGTTGTTGTTAAAATTCCTTCAGCATAGATGCCACCATTTTCTACCATTTACATATCTGAAAATGGTAGAAAATGGCACTGCTGATTTTCAGAGGAAGTTCTGGGAAGAATAACCAGCTCTGGTGTACGTGAGTCCTGTTCTAAGACGTAGAACGGTCACACAACTTGTTTGGAAATGACGAGCTATCGTCCCCCCCGTTTTGTTGAGCAAATCTAAAAAAAGATAGCTGGTAGTAGTAGCTTTCCCAATTCACATTTGCTTAACTTTAGATCTTTCCTTGGAAAAATAGAACCCTGAACCCCCAAAACAGGTTTAAAATTGAGATGACAGTTGTGCAATAGGGAACAAAAGTTTCAGGTGTCCCATCTTGGAGACATAATGGAAGGTAGGAATTGTCAGCAGAGCATTTAAAGGCATGAAATGAGCCGCGGTGGCGCATGGTCAGAGTGAAGTACTGCAGGCTACTTCTGCTGACTGCTGTCTGCCTACAATCTGGCAGTTCGAATCTCACCAGGCTCAAGGCTGACTCTGCCTTCCATCCTTCCGAGGTGGGTAAAATGAAGACCCAAATTGTTGCTGCCAATACGTTGACTCTGTAAACCGTTTAGAGAGGGCTGTAAAGCACTGTAAACCAGTATACAAGTCTAAGTGCTATTGTTATTAGTGATCCTGTGAAAAGCCTGTCTTGATGCCTGCCACTTTCCTTGCCCTACAAATTTGATTTTATTCAGATTATTTAAAAAAAAAAAATGAATTGGAGACTTACTTGCTTCGAACTACAAGCCTCAAACACAATCTTTACTTTGTTTTATAGCAGAGTAGCTGAAGCTGAAAAAAAACAGCTGTATATAAGCATAATCAGTTGGCAACTGTGTTATGCATGCATGTACTGCCCTCTATAGTAGAGCACAATTCAGCTTCTTTCCCGGAACCAACTCAGCAGTCAGTTCTTCTGGACTCATTGACATATAGCTGGCTTACTCCTACTCTGTTCTTAGAAGACATGAGAAACAATTAAGCAGGCAAATTTGCCTGTGGGGCCCTAATTTACACCAGCCTTATACATCCCTAATTCTGCTGACACTTAGCTAAATGTCTTGCAACTTATTATTATTTAGTCTGCTGCAGGAGCTTTTGATATTTAATGCTTAACACGCTGCCAATATAACATCAGTTGATGTGTCTAAACAAGGCAGCGTCCTGATTTTCTTAGGAGGTGACTGTTTGCCCAGGGCCCAGGACGAACCAGTGTGAAAGTTAGTGTGGCATAAGTGGGTGCTGAACTCTGACTGAAGAGGCCTAGATTCAACTCTAATGCTCAGCTATGGAAATTTGCAGAGTGGTTTTGGGCAAAGGGGTCCAACCGGGGGTGAAATGCTACTGGTTTGCTCCGCTTCGGGCAAACTGGTAGTGATAAAAACTACTGGTTCGTGCGAACCGGTAGTAAAAAAAAAAAGCTACAGTCCGACGATCACCTGTGCTGCGTGGTTCAGCACACGCCAAAAGGAGGCTTGGGAAGGTAAGTAGAACAGCAAGAGAAACCGGTTCAGATTTCACCACTGGGTCTAACCAA